CCCGGGGGACTCTTTGCCCGTGTCAAGCCGAGAGCCGACGAGCTGGGAGCTGAGGGGTTCCCCACCGCCCAGAGCCGCTCACAGCTCGTGTGGATAAACCTGCGATTTTACTTCTCGGGCTCCCGCCCTCCCTTCCTCTCGGGCTGTTCCTCAGCACAACAAAATTGTATCGGGGCCAGGGGGGCACACGACACAACTCCCTCTCCCCTAATCCCGGGCGGATTTCAAGCAGCGGCTAATCCTCCCGCTTCTTTAAATCGCGTCAGGGTAATGTAAAGAGCAGCAACCCCGGCCGCGACTGCAAAGGCGGTTTCAGCGCAGGGTTTCTCAGCGCTGCTTGGAGACCGGTCCCTGCTCCGCATCGACGTGCGGGCCCCTGCGAGGGGCTCAGCGGCTCCCCCCCCCCCCCCCCCCCCCCCCCCGCGGGGGGGGGGGGGCCGCTTCTCGCAATAGCTGCGAGCAAAGCGCTCCCGAGGGGGTCCCCAGAACGGGGCTCGGACAGCGCGTGCCCCCCCCGCAGGGCCTGGGCCGGCTGCGCCTTTAAGGGGCTCCGAGTCCCGCCCCGGCTGGCATTTGCCTGATGGCTCCGGACAGCTGCTCTTTCTCTCCTGCTTTCTATCAGTTTGACCTCTAAGGCTGGAACTGTCACTGAGGGGCTTAAAGTTTGTTTTTCAACCCATTCCGGAAACTCACAATCACATACTTTATCCGTGGATTTGCTTAAATATAGAAAAAGTCCTGTCTTCTCCTTGGCGAATTAAATAAATACATAAGTATGATTTATCCAGTGATTTGTCTTAGCTGCTCCAGTGGTGACCCATATAATGTGGCATTTTCTTACAAGTGCATTTACACAGCTTTTGCAGCCGATTCGGGCTGCCTCTCTCTTCGACTTGGACTATTAGGTAGTGTCCTACCCCGTGTTTTCCAGCGGAGGGAAAGCGTGTTTGTGCTCGATAGCAGTGTGCCCCAGTGGCACCGCAGCTCCCCATGCCACCTGGGACCCTACTAACACCGGGAACAACTGACCACAAACGTCTGGTCAGAGACAAACCCGTCACCTAACCAGGAGCCCTATGTGTGACACTCACGGGCTGTTCTCTGCTTTTTCTTACAGATCACGCAGCTCAAGATCGCCAGCAACCCTTTTGCCAAGGGATTCAGAGACTGTGACCCCGAAGACTGGTAAGGCTGCTTCTGCTGACCACAATGAGCCCCCCCTCGCCCCCAGTTTAGCACATGCTGCCCAATTCGTATTTATACAGGACGTGTATCATATTGAGCGAGCTCTGGGTCAGGCCTCGCTCACCAGCCACAGCAATGCATGCACGTGCCCATTCAGCTGGAGCAATAGCTCTGTATCCCTTCTCCTCTTCCAGGCCCAGGAATCACAGGCCCGGCGCCCTGCCTCTCATGAGTGCGTTTGCCAGATCCCGGAACCCGGTGTCTTCCCCTGCGCACCAGAATGGGACGGAGAAAGGTGAGCCACGAGCAGCCGGGCCTGCCTCCCACCCTTGCCCAGGCCGTGCAGCCCGCACCACACGTGTGCTGGGAGCCAGCCTTGCTTGCACCACTGGAGCATGGCCACCTGCAGTGGGCACATAGTCCCATGTGTTCCCATGGCTAAAAGCTTTGCCCTGGCACCTATTTTTATTTCAAAAATAGACATCTTCTTCGTGCCAGTCACTCTTATTAGGTCCGAACACTCACTATTGTTTTGTTGTTGTAATTAAACGAGGGAAGCAGCGAGATTATTTAAAACATCTTTTCCTTTTAGTGTCCTATTTCAGAGTTTTGGGCTGAGTTTAGCTTTTCGGGCAGGGAGGTGGTGCGGGCTGCTTGCACCATGTTGTTGTGCCCACTGCCCTGCGGGAGCCGCAGGCGGCTCGGCAGCACAGCCCTGCCCCTCGCCTGCTTCCCCCCTGCTCAGAGAAACAACTGCCGAGACAACCGGAGGCCTTTCCTCCCCGCTCCGGCCTCGTAAAAAAAAAAAGGAAGTTTGTATTTGTTTAGCGTTACACAATTGCAAAAATCCCGGGCGTGCAGAGACTCGCCAGCCCGTCCAGCCCCGTTCGTGGCAATGGGAAGGTGCTGCCCCCCGGCCCGCTTCCCACCGCGACCCCGCGGCGCGGGCAGGGCGGGCGCTCACGCCGTGTCCCCTTCGCTTTCCCCTTGCAGATGGCGCCGAGGGCCGGCGGGACTACGAGCGGGAGGCGGCGGGCGGGACGCCCCTGCACGGTGACGCCGCGCACCAGCAGCTCATGTCGCGCGTGCTCAGCCCC